CTTCAACGTGTCACAAGTAGAGTCCGAGCAACTCAGCTTGTAGCTCAATATTGGAATCTATGTTGTTATTTTTGCAAAAAACACTTCATGTTTTCTTCGTGTTTTCAATTTTAGTAGTTTAACTACTCTCTCCGCTATAAAAAGAATACCTCCTTCCAAATTTACCAAGTTCAAAGTAAAGAATGTATCTTTCCTTTTTTGGCAATTCTTAATTTAACAACACACATGACATGTTCAAGACTACAAGATTAAGGACATTTTGGTACATTATCTAAACTCAAATCAAAAATTCTTATTTGAACAACTTTTTATTGTCATTACTAAACAAAAATAGCTACTCAACCTCGACAATTGCTTATTCATATGCTATTATGAGTTCAAGACATGCTGCTATGGGGAAATCGATGGACACATTGCTCTTAGGAAGCAGTGCTAATGCATCTCGGCTCGAGTCCGAGTGGGCAACATACTATCTTCTAAGAAGGATTAATAGATCTTATAATGAATTCAATTCTCATCCATTTAAAATTATGTAACTAAGGGACTCTTCTTTTTAAAGTTTTTTAATAATATTTTCAACCTTGAGCATACATTATCTGTCATTTCCTTTTCGATTATTTCAACTTAAATTGTTAAAAAGTCCCACATCGGAAGAGAAGTGGGAAATTGGACTCCTAATGTGGACTTGGACAAACCTCCCCTCACGAGCTAATTTTTGAAGTTGTGGTAGATTCGGGTATCATATCTTTATATGGTATTAGAGTTAGACTTATCCCAGTTTGTTGTTCATCGATGTTGGCTCTCCATTTATAACGGTTCATGCTCTAGTTGAGGTCTGGGCATACGTGGAAATGTTAAGAAATCCCACATCGGAAGATGGATGAGAAATTGGAATTTTTATATGGAAATGGACAAACCACCCTTCATGAGCTGGGGTTGAGTTGCTTCGTGGTGCCATATATTTACCTAGTTACCCTTCATTTGATAACCTTTTTATTCGATAAAATCGTAAAACTATACGATTCATCAGAAAAAGGTAATAGTTGTTCTTTTCTATATAACAAGATTATGTTACTCGTTGGACTTCTTCGGGACATTTCCTGCTAAGCTATTTATATGGGTCATTGATTTTCCTTTAATGGAGTTTCTCCCAAATTCATATAATTCTCTATTTCGAAAAATTGTTATAATTTTAAGTAAATAACTGGACCATGTACCGTTGTGATCCAAGACTACAAGATTCAAGAAAATTATTTACTTTGTTAAACTCTATGTCAAGTCAAAATCAAACAAACATTTGAAACAATGGGAGTAGTTATTAAGATTTAATACAGTTCATGAACAATTGTTCTTCAAACACCTTCTGATATATTGTATCCAAAATATATCGTACTTCAAAATCTTGGCACATCATCAGTAAAATAATGACAGACAACATCTCCCTTACATAGTATATATTGACGAGAAAAGGAGAAATATTTATATCAAGTTGCAAGAAAAAAAAAGAAATAGTCAGGCCCAACTAAATGCTCACTTGGGGGGGTTAAAGGAGTCTCCCACTTGCCTCCATATTTTTTTTCCAGTTACCTACAGAGAATAAGTAGCTTAATAGTAAACCATCAAAAGAACGTGGGAATAACATAAAATTAATCTCACAGACTCATAGCATATTGTAACAGAAGAAAACACACAACCAACGCTTGATTTTTTTTAATTATAGTATAAACTACGGAGCTACATTGCTTATTTCTTAAAAATAAATTAAGTGCAAAATAAAAGGCTTACCTGATCATAACCACCTAATTTGATGACAGATCTCCATAACCTAGCACGAGAAAAATGACAAGATATAATATGTATCAAGAACAAGATGAAAATAATAAGGCTCAATGATAAAAGTATGACACACTTACTTTAGGCAATTAAGCGGATGACCATAAAACCTAGGTTGTTTAAATTCCATCGCCTTCTCCTGGTAAAAGGAGCCTAGTTTTTCTATAAATTCAGCTTGATGCTCAGGGGAGCCTTCATCATCCTCGCCTATCAAAGCAGAAGAATCTGTAACTTTAGTTGTCACTTTCGGAAACTGGTCCGACCTCTGAGGATCCTCTGATCTATCAACCACCATCTCTTCTTCACTCTTATCAATTCTGACAACTAGTCACAGGCAACATATCATATGAATCAAATTTTGGCATTTTAATACTCATCTCCTCAAGAAAAAATACCCAAACGTTAAAAGAAAGGAAAATAATAACTTCCAACAAAAACATATATGCATCACTAATTCCACTAGTTACTTTTTATCATAATTCATTCTATAACTTCATTTCAAAATTCAAGTTGTTTTCACATTTTTTCACTTTAAATCACTCACAAGAACTCAAAAGCAACTCCAATTATATTCACAACCAAACACAACTCCAATTTTCAATCATCATTATTCACTATCAAAAGTGAATACAATGATTGAAAATCAGAGTTGTGTTTTGTTGTGAACATAAACTGAAGTTGTTTTTGAGTTTTTGCGAGTTATTTGGAGTGAAAAAAATATATATGTTTTCAAATTCTTTCAATTTTCATGGTCAAACTCCCTTATACATTAAATCTAGTAGAAAAATAATGCATTCCTCTACAAAACACACGCAAAAAAAAAATCTAACCCTAGTTTCGTCAAAACAGAAGTGGGGATAAAAAATCAAACCGAAAAAAAATAAACTTATTACCATCCCCATTTGTTAACTCTAAAAAGAATGAAACCTAAAAAAGGAAGCTCCTGCCAATCAATGCACTGAAAAAAAATATCGAAACTTCATACACATCTCAAAAGTGTTCAGTTTTATTGTTTTCATTTATAAAAAAAAATACAGAAACATTCAACAGATAAACAAGTAATGACAGTGAGTAAAAAAGACTTACAGGAATCCATCAGATTTAGCAACTGGTAGGACTCTAAGATCAAAATCAAAGGCTGATGAAGCAAAGTAGCTTAACAAAGAAGGAAAGACCTTGAGCTAAACCCTCCAATGACGGCTTTTGTTTTTTAAAATATTTTTGGTACCTAGTAACTAAAGAGTGTGAGTAGGATATGAGTAAATTATTGTCTTTATGTGAAATTTTTTGAGAAATGACTGAAATGGTACTTAATTTACTAGTAATGTTTTGTTTTGGTCTTTTAAAGATATTTTAGGAATAACTTCAATTAGATATAATAAATTAGTAATTAGTGTATAATAAATAGAGTCATATAATTAAAAAAATCATTGAAAGTATACATTGACTTTTTATATCATATAATTTGTTAAGTCCTATAAAGTGTATATAGAGTACTCACTATTTAATATAGTGTGTCTATACATGAAGATATACTCAAAAATTAAATGTAGTTTAATTATATATAAAATATATATTGACTATATATGAAGTATACATTGACAAACCAATCTTGATCAACTCGAATTCATCTCTAAATAGTTCCAAATTTTATATATGTAATCCTCTCGATATTTCAAATCTTTTAATATATAATTTACTCGAAACTATCCACGTTTACAGTATGCCAAATTTCAAAGAAAGGGAAAAACAACTAACGCATGAAAAGAAAAAGAGGGGGGGGGGGGACAAAGAAAGAACTTATTAATGATGAAACTAGAATGAAGAAAAAGAACTAAGGGTTTGGCCAATTTTAATGTTTTTGAAATTTCAAAGATTCATAATATTGCAAATTAATATATGTCTAAGTAAATCAAAAAGGTACACAAAATTACAAAAAAAATAAGTTCAAGGAGGTAATAGGACCTTAGTTTAGTACTTAAGGTGTGTCTCTGAGACTTCGATTATAATCTAGGGGGATACATATACATTTTCCCTATTTTTTTTCTTTATTTTAGTGGATAACTGGATGAAATATGTATGTCGATTTCAATTGTTGAAAAACCAAATTTTGTCCAATTGTGGCACAATTTTTTTTGTATTAAATGGACCATCAACATGATCTATTTGACTAGTTTTCAGTTTTGTCTCTCATTGACAAGCCCAATAATATAGTACAAGTATAATTATATTTTGCTAATGAATATTAATAGTGAGAAATATATTATTTACTCTCTTTCTATTTTAATTTGTTTGTTTTGTTTTGACTAGTATTGGATAACAAAAAGATGATCTTTAATTTTTTTGTTTTAAACATAACATGTGAAAAATTAGAATTAAAGAATTGTCTACAAATTATAAAAAAAAAATATTGTTTTTAAACCGTCTAAAAAAAGATAAGAGAGAAAAAATTATTTGGTTATTGTATTTATTTTGCTTCATTTATCAATCTAATCTGTTCACATGACTTGTACAGTCATTTGATATCATGTATAATTAGTTACGTTGGTGATAATTAATAGCTAGAAATGAATCTTTTCGCCAAAAGTTTAGAAATGAACCTAATTCTATGATATTAATATATAGGAGAAACTATTTAATTACACAAATATTTGTACTGTATTTATTAATTTTTTTTTATAATTTATAATATTATATTTTATATAATTAGTTAATAATTTTATACCAGATTTCAAGTGAGATACACCTTTGTAAATGTTTTTTGCTATCAGATTTATTAAAATAGGGAGAGAGGCGAGCGAGAACATGAGGGAGGCAACCGAAATTTGCTTATGTATTCCATATACATACGAATCACGCTAATGTTTCTAAGTAGTGCAATTCACATGTATTCGAGATACCAAGAGTGGTGAACAAAATTTGTCAATGTATCCTAGATACATACGAATTCACTTGAATATAGTGTATCGCTTAAAACTGATAACCCGATAATAAAAAGAAAGCAAGTTCATTACCAAAACTGTTAAATCAATATACCAATAATACAATATCACAAAAAGACAATTCATTACACGAAACATCCCAGTTTCAGATAGAGTTGTACATGCTAACCTACAAAGTGCATTCCTTTCCTTACTAGTTTTCTCTTTCTTTTTTTGGATTTCCACCCGGTCGATGTCCCATTTGAGCTCCGACTACATTTGAACGGCGTACTATAGGCCTCCTATTTTTGGGTAACACTCCCAACATGACTTTCTCCTCAGGACCTTAAATCAGCCATTTGAGCTTTATAGCCATCTTTCTTTGTGAAGCGATAAATAAAATTTCGCAAAAGGACAGCTCAGTACACGAAACATCCCGTATTCAGATAGAATTGTATAGGCTAACCTACAAAGTGCATTCCTGTTCTTGCTAATTTTTCTCTTTCTTTTTTGGGTTTCCTTGGAGCTCCGACTAAATTCTTATGGCATACTGTAGAGCTTATGTTTATTGCAGGGCATATTCTGGGTTATGTTGGGACTTTCTCCGTACTCGTTTTTCTCTTTCTTTCGTATTCGTTTTAAACAGTCTATTACCCATTGATAGAACAATTCTTTCTCCAGACAGCTCCAAAACAGTACACTATTCCTTAATTTTTGTTGAGTTTAAAAGGTGTGAATGGAAAATGAAGAGTTGTGACTTCTATTTAAAGTTGTGAGTTTTTGTGAAAAGTTGG